ACTTTAGACATTAAAATCTTCATTTTTAGCAATTTATATATATAACATATAATAATATATGATTTGATCATGTAACCCACAGTGTTCCTGTTCAAATGCATCCCTCTTGTCTGGTCACGCAAGAGAACATAATAGAGGGAATCAGACTTGTCTAGCAGGTGATACACACACACAGTTGGTGACCTGCATAAAGACACATTCATTCCAGTAAATTGTTAGAGGTTGTTATCTCACACCCTAAAGCACAGCATCTCTTCATGGTTGTTTCCAGAGGCAAGGTAAGAGTGTTTATTCTTTTAAATGTGTAACTGCTGTAAACTGCCTTTTTGAAGTATGTTCATAGAAATACATTCTTACCTTGACTTTGAAATGTGCCATTCAAAAAATTGTTTTCTTATTCTTTTTATTGTTATTTTTTAATACATTTGTAAATTTAGTCATATCATTGTTCCTATTTTACAGATGTAAGGTGTCTGGATGAGTCATATAATTGCCTTTTGTTCTGAAGAAATAGATTGAAGTGATTTTGACTGACAGACATCAGTGAGAAACATGGCCAGTCAAGGTATAATAAACTACAAATAAACATATTTTTGGCTTACTGTATCTTTTATCTGTCTTTCTTTACACCTGTTATCGTACCCCTGTCCTTCAAGTTAACTGTCAAAACATACTTACATGGATCATTCACCAAAAAATTGTCATCATTTACTCACCCTAAAAAAGTGTTCCAAACCTTTATGAATTTATTGCTTCTGCTGAACACAAAAGATGATGTTTTGTAGAATGTGGTTAACTAAACAGTTGATGGTCTGACTTCCATAATATAGAAATAAAGTACTATGGAAGTCAAAGGGGACCATCAACTGAAATCTTATTTTGTGTTCAGCAGAAGAAAGAAATTCATACAGGATTGGAACAGTTTGAGGGTGAGTAAATGATGGGGGGGGGGGGGGGGTTAAATTTTTCCTTTAAAATTGTGGAATGGTTAAACTATCCATTTAAATACTGTGTAAAGAAGTTTGTCAGAATACTAGGGATAGTAAAGTAAAAATATCAGTACTCTTAAAAACTACTGATTAGTGAACCATGTTTATTTATTCTATCCATCACTAATCAATAAAGAAGGGTAGTGCAGATGTTTATGTAATGATCTTCAAATAAGCGAACTTTTCATATAATACCAAAACTTGTCATAAACTATAAAACATTAAACAAATATACTAAAATATTAATTAAAGTTATGATCATTCAAATGTGCAAACAAGTGAAAATAACAAAATCTACCATATAGTAAAAATTAGTGTAAATATAAACATACAGTATACAGATGTCACATGGGACAGAATGTGTTGACGTTTTAAGAAGAATGTTATGCCTGCATAATACTTTCATATCATTTCTAACAGCTATGGCAGCGGGGTAGAGACATGGGTATTAATTAAGGTTATTTTAATGTTAATTATAGTTTTTACTTAACCTCTTAATTCGATATATAAAATTATATAATGTGTGTGTGTGACGTGT